CATATTTCTTACTTTCAAACAAGATATTTTGAAATATTATCCTCCTCTTTTAGAGAGTTTCTTTGCACCTCGTGGAGATTTATTACACTGCTGGCTCGGTGTTTCAGGCAGCTGCTAGTAATTGCTTACTCAGAGGCTAACCTTGGCTAGCAGTGATTTACGTTTCCCTGCGGTGAACCCAAGCTTGTATAAAAACACAGCGCCCTGCTTCCTGTCTGAAGGGAAGTGGGATGGAGTGGCGAAAGGCAGTCTGCTCTGGCTGGCCTCAAGTCTCGGCCAAGAGCAGACTTTATGCACTGCACCTGTGAAGTTAACTGTGTGAAAACAGATTCACAATGCAATCAAGAGTAAAGTGTATGACAAGTCTGATTATGTTCGTTTATGTGTTTTCAGGACGCAGGACACTTCCGCGGAGCTTCATGCCGCAGGAGAACCTTTTTCAGCTGGTTCCCTCCAGCCGCACTCGAAGCTATAATGGAGACAGCACGCTGCAGTACAGCGACCTGCGCTCACTGGGCAAAAGCTCCCAGCGAGGTACAGCCAAGTGTAAGTGATTCACTTGAAATCTTTTGAAACAGGGGGAACATGCGCTCGACACTGTAAAATAACCTGTAATAGTTGTGTGTTTGGCTCATGTGACCAATTGCTATTGATGACCTCAATATAAATACAAAAAATGGACACGGGCAATCCAACTGTTAGTGGACATGTGCTGATCATTCGCTTGATTAAATATTAGGCATTTAATATTTGAAAACTAAGCAGCCACTTAAAAAAAATACTATACTTGCATTTTCAATCGCATAAAACAGAGAAAAGCAGAAAATCCTCTCAGCAGAGAGGCTGAAACTGGAGTATTTTAGTGTGAAAGTGACTGAAAATGTGAGAAAAATAGCTTCCACATAATTATGTGTTGATTAAACTGTTGATTGTCACATTTGCGGTGTTGTTCACTTCCACTTTGATCAGATGGTTCCTAATTTAAACAGAGGAATGATTGATTTCAATGATTCAAGATAAAACTTTTGCAGTTCCACTATTTCAGGGTTGTATCTTCCTTAAACAGATGCATTATAATGTGTAATAGATATCAGTGAGGATAGATGTAATGCACAGTCGTACTGTATGTCACAGGCAGAATTCCCCCCTCATCGTCCAAATTAAGCTGTTTTACGGGCTCACTAATCACATCTGTCCTCATTTAGTCTATACATCCTGCCCAGAAACTGTCTTCATCATAATACCAAAGCTTGGCTCATAAGTCTGTGGTCGATGTGTCGGTCTCTGGTGTCCGTCTCACCCACGCGCGACCAAACAGTCTAACGCAGCCACAGAGAAGCCTGCTGGTTCCAAAACAAAGTCCCGGAGTCTGAGCCTGAGAACATGGGAGCCGCGCAGATGAGCTTTCTAAGCTTTCACAGTTTGTGTGTCTGTTGGTGGGTTGCGGTTCCACTGCTTGACTGTGATATCTGGGGTTTCCCCAGTCTAAGAAGGGTCTGCAGTGGGAGTGATTTAACAAATTGCGGTGCGCTTAACGTCTGGTCTCGGTGAAGTTGATGTGTGATCAGTGGATTTTGATGTTTGCTTTAGGTTTTTTTTTTTTAAAACATGCTCTCAGATCCGTATATCATAGAGAAGCTGGCTGTCTTAGGAGGCTTAGCAACACAATTAATTACTGAGGGGGGGATTCATAGTCTGGCGTTTCATTTCTGCAGCACCACGGGCGCCAGTCAACTGGAGACAGGGAAAGCTGCTGGGGCGAGGAGCGTTCGGGGAGGTCTACCTCTGCTACGATGCCGACACAGGTCGCGAGCTGGCCGCCAAGCAGGTGCCGTTTGATCCCGACTGTCAAGAAACCAGCAAGGTGAGGGGAAATATGTCAAAACTGTTTGGATTTGCATGAAGTTGATTGCATAAGATGGGCTTTTTTAATTAATTGAGGACTCTAACTTTGGTTTTTTGCTGCAGGAAGTGAATGCTCTGGAGTGTGAGATTCAGCTGCTGAAGAATCTGCGTCACGAGAGGATTGTGCAGTACTACGGCTGCCTTCGAGACCTCGACCAGAGAAAACTCACCATTTTCGTTGAGTTCATGCCCGGGGTGCGTATTCTGCGGGACATTTTAAGTAAATTTAATCACACTCGAGCAGCCCTTAAATTTTGAAAGAACAATTAACGTCTGAGAATGTGCGCGCCGGACTTGGTTTGGCTATAAAGATAGGTACTGAGACATTTTAACACAAACATTAAAATCAAACCCTTACCAGCCACATCTGCTAGAATCTATTTAGAAATGTCACCAGCTGTCAACAAACATGTCCTCCACGCAGTTGATGTCAGCAGAACAGCTCATTTTATGAGATCATATTCTCCCTAAATGAGCAACTTTAATGAGCTACTGTCGCCTGCGGACCCTGTCCCCGAGCCTGTTTTTAATATTTCCTGAGCTATTTTTTTTAATTTCCCAGAGACGCTGAGTGTCTTAGTCACACATTGTCTGGAAATTGGAAATGTTTACGTTTCGCCAGAGTTGGCAGAAGCAAGACAGGAGGTGATAGAGCCAAGCTTTTGTGTGGCTGCGTGGCACTGCTGCGCCTGACCGATAACACTTTAGTGGCCCGAGGGAGGGAGGGCCGTGTGTCCCTCGGAGAGACCCCGAGAGCTCCTAAGGTGTCCCGTTGACAGCTGAAAGTGAGGAGGCAGAGGTTTTGTTTTCACCGCAAGTCCAAGAGTGCGTCACAGGTGTTACAGGATCAGGTCTTAGCTCCTGCCGTGTCCCCAGGAGGAGTGGAAAGCAGGAAATTGAAGGAAATGCAGCTCACTGGTGCAGTTTGGACTCAAAGTCAGTCAACAGACTTCTGTCAGCACGTTATATGCTTACATTCTTGGCGTTTGGCCTTGAGAATTGGCTTAGAGGCTGCTTTCACAAATAAACCCCAAACAAATTAGCTTGAACACCCACGTTTTCCAGAAAAATAAGTGTATGTAGATTTTTCTCTAATTTCGCATGCGTGTCCGTCCCATTCGTTCGCTCACAGGCTTTCTGTTTGTCTCTGTAGGGCTCGATAAAAGACCAGCTAAAAGCCTACGGGGCCCTGACGGAGAAGGTGACGAAGAGATACACCAGGCAGATCCTCCAAGGAGTCTCCTACCTGCACAGCAACATGATTGTACACCGGGACATCAAAGGTAAATGAAGCCGCAAGCTCGAAAAAGGCCAAGGTTGGATTTTAATTGGATTTGTAACCGGTAAACACTCACACTTGGAAATGCTTTCTTCAGTGGGGTTCTATAGCAGTAGCTGCTGCAATAGGCGGGGGGTCAAAACTACAGATTCATTCATTTTCATTCGGGTTGACATTTCCTCATTTGGTCATTCGTCGTCTGCAGAACGTGCCTGGAAAAATGTGCTATTTTCAACTCCCCTTTGAGATATATTAGGCTTTGTGCTGGTGAAACTGGCCGTTCTAAAAATGCTCGGCACCGGACGGAAAGGTTTTGGTTTGGCTGCCCACAGCTTTGGGAGTTACTGGGTCGTTAAGCAGCAGCCAAGAAAGAGGGGAATATACTGTCTGGTGGGGGGAAAAAGATAGTCGGTCTCACAGGACCAGGCAGGGCTCTATGAAGAGCACATGTGGGTGTGATCTTTCCACTCAAAAAGGCTCTGCACGTGTAATATACGGTGTGTTCATCTCACCACAGAACATTTCTGTTTAAAAAAAAAAAAGGGACTTAAGCTTGGCACCACACGCACATCCACATTCACTCCGGACCAGCTGGAAGTTTCTCTGAATTTATTTGCAAAGGCTGGAATTATCAGAGAACCTGTCGTCCTACGTACAGGAAACGTGCAGGCAGTGGAAGAAGCAGCTCGGGGCAGTAAAAAGTAAAGGTTATAGTTTGAGCCTCCAAGTTTCTTCTTTTGCAGCCTTCCAGTTCTTTGGTGGGGGTGGAGGGTGAGTGGCAAGTGGTGCACATTAGTCACTGATCAAACAAGCGGCGTGGCTGAAGGAAATGGGATAGACAGAGCTACATTTGGAAAATTACTAAGATAGGAGGAGAAAGGGTGTTGAGGTTCGACGTGTCTCTTGTGGAGCAGACGGTTTATTTAGTATTTAATTTTCTGAACCCAACGAGGCTTTTTCCTCAGTGTGAGAAAAGTGAAAGAAAGATAAACTTCCCTGTTTGGCGTAGCTGACTAAAGCGCAGGATTTGTATAAAGACTGCTGAAAGATATGCTTTTTAAAAATAAGTCTGCCAGTATTCAGTTACCCAAACAGTCAAGACCTTTCGCCTTCTTCCGTCAGCTTGAATTGCTGGCACCAATCACTTTTTACCCAAAACAATAATTGCAACTCCAAATTGTCAGCATCCCTTTGTGTCTGACAGCTCTCGGGAGAGTCCTGAATACTTTCAAGCTCGTTTTGTTTCGATCCACCAGGTGCTAACATCCTGAGAGACTCCTCGGGAAACGTGAAGCTGGGAGACTTTGGAGCCAGCAAACGTATCCAGACCATCTGCATGTCTGGTACAGGCATCAAGTCTGTCACTGGCACCCCCTACTGGATGAGCCCTGAAGTCATCAACGGGGAGGGATATGGGAGGAAAGCTGATGTGTGGTAAGGAAATTATTAGATGGAACTGTATTGATTGAAGGGGCGAACAATATCAGATTGCTGCCGTCGCTGTAAAAGCAAAAGCAATAAAATGACCTTGAGCAATAAATGATATTGTTATCGGTTGCTGCGATATGCACTCTGTTTACTAATACTGTTGATATTTAACACACTGAGGCGTTGAAATTAGAAATGCAGTCGAGTAATAAATGGAATAAATGAACTTTTCAGTTACATGCTACTTCAGAAACTCACATAAATATGAACTTTAAATAAGGGCTATATGTGCCGATAGATTAGAGCACTTTATACAGTTTTCTAAGAGAGCGCGCTTACTTAAAGACTTGATAAGAAGCCACATATACTAACGTATCATTGCATTGCCAAACAGTGTTAACTTATGCATCTCCCATGTCGATTTTTGTGAGATTCAGCAGTTTTTGGGCCCATTGTTCTAGGGCGTTATTGGTTGCTCCAAGCTTTAGGGAAAGAGTACAATACTGGAATAAGTTTGTTTGGATTTGAGCTCGTGTCAAAGGGTTAACTCTGGTATTTGACACAACAGTTGGAGGTGCAAGGTAGACAATAGACACAAGCCGAGCTCCATTCAAATCATTTTTCCTGCTGTGCTGTTTTCCTTCAGGAGTGTCGCCTGCACCGTTGTTGAGATGTTGACCCAGAAACCCCCGTGGGCCGAGTACGAAGCCATGGCAGCCATTTTTAAGATCGCCACCCAGCCTACAAAGCCCACGCTTCCCGAGGGTGTGTCCGACGCTTGCAGGGACTTCCTGCGGCAGGTGTTTGTGGAGGAGAAGTGGAGGCCCACTGCAGACTTTCTGCTCAGCCACCCGTTCGTTCAGGGCAGCTTCTGAGCTCCTGTGGATCCCCTTCCCCTTCCCTGCCTGTGAGGCCTCCGTGGCCCCGGTGCATCCCCTCCTCTCTGGCCCGTCCCATCCCCAGGGCCCCCTCCCCTCGTCACCAAGCTCCAGGGCTCAGTACTACTCCCAACTTCCTGTTATCCACCACTAGTGTCTGCCTTGTCGAGACTCCTGCATCCTACTAGCTCCACCTGGACTATTCCCTGAGAGGGAAGGGTGACTGCTGTGAAGACCTCCAGAGTCCTCTGAGGTTTTGCATGGTGTTCCCTCA